ATTATTACACCTTTGTGGTGTAAGTTTTGAAGTCAGGAAATGTGAATCCTACAACTTATTTCTTTTTCTTTTTCAAGATTAGAGGAAATCATCCAGTCTTTGATGATTCAGTGTGATGTTACATACGAATTTTTCATACGTGGCCTCCGTCATGTTGAGAAAATTCCCTTCTGCTCCTTTTGGTTGAGAGTTATTAGCACAAGAGTGTGTTGGATATTGTCAGATGCTCCTGCTGCATCTTTAGATGATCATACGCTTTTGTTCTTTATTCTGCTGCTGCTACGTATTACACAGCCTTGCATTCCTTGGATAAACCCTCCCTGGTCTTGGTGTAGACCTCTTTTTATATTTTGCTGGATTCATTTGTTGAGAATGTACACATCCACGTTCATAAGATATGTTGGCCTATAGTTTTCTTTTTCTGTGCTCTCTTTGTCTGGTTTTTGTATCAGATTGATACTGGCCATGTACAATGAGTTTGGAAGTGTTCCATCCTCTTCTACTTTTTAGAAGACCTTATGTAAAATTGTTGTTAACTCTTCTTTGAATATTTGGTAGTATTCCGCATTGAAACTTTCTGGACCTGAGCTTTTCTTTGTCAAATTATGGTTTGATTACTTGATTCTTGATTACTAGCTCAAACTTTGTACGTCTTATAGGTTTATTCAGATTGTCTATTTTCTGGCATCTGTTTCTGTAGTTTGTGTCTTTCTAGGAATCTGTCCATTTTATCTAAGCTAACTCATTTGTTGGCCTACAGTTTGTTTTGGTATTCCTATCTAGTCCTTCTCATTTGCTTACTGTAAGTAGTAATCTCCCTTCTTTATTTTCATCACTAGCAGTTTCAGTCTTCTGTCTTTTTCTCTTGGTCAATCTACCTAAAAAGGTCTTTTCAAAGAATCAACTTTTTGTTTCATTGACTTTCTCTATTGCGTTTTTCTTCTCTAGTTTATTCGTTTCTACTTCAATCTTTATTATTTTCTTTTCTCCTGCTTCCTTTAGTTTTTCTTTGCTCCTCTTTTTCCATATGTTACAGTGGAAAGTTAGGTTATTGATACAAAATTTTTGTTCTTTTAAAATGTAGATAGGTAAAGCCATAAATTTCTCTCCGAGCACTTCTTTTGCTGCATCCCATCAGTTCTGATATGTTGTGGCTTCAGTTTTGTTCACTTCACAGTGGCTCCACATTGTCCTTTCGATTTCCTCTACAAGCCATTAGTCATTTAGGAGTGTATCATTTCACTTCCATGTACTTGTGAGTTTTCAATTTTTTTCTATTTATAATTTCATGCCATTGTGCTTGAAAGACATACACTGTATTAAATCTATCCAGTCATTTTTTGAAGAACATGATTAACTGAAGTAACAGACTATGGTCTATTCCATCCAAAGAGACTGTAGTTTTATAGATAAAAGGCAATGAAGCCCAAGGTGTAATTCTATCCCTCTGATCACTCAGAAGATGGAGAAAGGGCCCCTGATTTCACTGCTCTAGTCATGGCTCCTGTGTGTGGACTGCCCTTGCTCAGGCCTTGGCTTGGAGTGTAAGCACGGGTCCCAGAGGGAATGACTCCCTTAGAGAATCCTGGTGTCTTCACTCTGACTGGTAGCACAAATTATAATTGTTGCAGGGAAATTGTGCATTTTCACTGTACTTTCCTTTTATCTTTTCTCCTACAGTGCTCTTTCCATTCCTTTGCCCAGTCCTTGAGGTTTTAAATTTGTCTTTGTTTCCGAAAAGTGCCGTGAATTTTTTCATCACGTCTTTAAAAAGGATTAAAGAAAGTCGCCTCAAAGATGAACGAACGGTAAAATCTGGTGGTGTGATATGAGGCTGTTCACGTTTGGGTAATTTATTGAGCTGTATACATATGATTTATGTACTTCTCTGCATTGTTCAAGGTAAGTAGAGAACTGTGGATTTTAGAGCAGGAGGGTCCTAACAATTTGGGGTAAATAAATACAGTGGAGTCTGGGGAAGAAGATAAGAACAGGAGTCAGAGAGCAGTGTTTAAATTTAATAATAGGCATGCCAGTTAGTATGTCACTGCAAAAATACTGTTGGGTTAAGACTTTATGCCATTTACCTTCGATAAATCGTCAACGGATAAAAATCACTGTCTAAAAATTATTTTACTCATATTTCACCAAATATTAGATTGGCAAAGAATCACTTCAGATCCAGGCCTCCTGTCTTACAGATTTTCCGCTGCACACATGAGGCCCCTGGAGGAGTGTAGGCTATGTGCAGCCATCTCCTAGTCTGGAGTGGGCCAGAGTCTTGTCTGGGCACTGAGGCTGCAAGCCGTTAAGCCAACCTTGCCTCATGAGGACTTGAGACCAGCACAGGGATATTAGGGGCAGGGCTGGGTGCTGGAAGGCACTGGAAATTATGTAGAGTTCTGGAAGGGTGAGGCACTTGAACAAGCTTCTACAAAAGCTGCCGATGAACTCTGCAAATGTAGGGGATTCATTTACGTGACCATTCGTTAAGAATTAAAGCTGGACGGGAGAGAAAAAAAGATTGAAGCCACAGACTACCTCCTGCGCACAGGTGTAACAGGAGAGAGAGCAGGTACCTCTTTGGTTAAGAAGCTGTTTCAAAGGCCAGAGAAGCCCCAGATCAGAGAGAGGGCCAAAAAGCCGTCGGGCCTGACGGCTGGGCTTCTCTTAGGAGAACGTCGTACCCGCCCAGATGTGCAGCTGGGTATTTTTGTTGACTGAGGACTCAGGTGATACGAGTCTGACTCCTGCTCTTTAAGGGGGCATTTTCTCAGGAAAGAGGTGAAATTCTGCTGCCCTGATTTCTTTATGGCTTCACAAGTAACTTTCTGTCACTGAAATTTCTCTTTCTGTTTCCAGCACCGAGTGGATTTTCTCCAGCTGATGATTAACTCCCAGAATTCCAAAGAAACGGGCACGCATAAAGGTAACCAAGGAATACTTCAGAGGGCCACTCTGGGGAGCTGCAGAGGTAGGGGGTGGTTGTGAAAACGTGCCAGAAGTATTCCAGGCTGATGAAATTTTGCCAAATTGAAGAATGTCCAATGTTAAAAAAGAAACAGTAGCCAGAGGTACTTCCCAGAACTACGCAGGCACAACTTTGTTCAGAGCGTGAAGGGCGAGGATGACAAGAACGTCACGCCCGGAGTCAGTCCTGCTCCTGGACCACCTGCAGCCCAGCCTCTGGGGGGCTTGTTTCCAGTGTCAATTCTCAGGCTCCTCCAGACCCACCGAGTCAGGACCTCTGCCTGGAATTTGCACCAAGGCTTCATCACATCGGGAGGGACATTGCCCCAGTGTTGGTGACCTCAACTGGGAACACTTAGTTAAAGCTGTGTTCACTGGGTTTCTCTACTATAAAGTTTAATTTTTCCTTTTGTCATTAATATGTAGCTTATAGGAGAAGCACCTGAGACTGTACCTATTTTGTTCCTCTTCAAAGAGTCACCCACGAGTTTTATCACCTATGGATGAGCTTTGACTGAAATCTTACTCTGACGGCTGCAAAATGATGACTTTCTAACTGCATCATTCTTCTGCATTTATGAGTCTGTCCTTTTGTAAGGGAGAGTTTTCCATCCTCCCCCATCCACTGATTTGTTCATGTATCTATGTCAGTATGACCTCATGTATAACTGATTACTCTCTTACGTCATTCTTTCTCTCTTTATTTATTTTTGAGACTAGAAAAGGAGGGTACTGGGGTATGCTGCCGTAGACAACAGCAGGCCACACGGACAACAGGTGCCTGTGTGAACATCGAGGGCGGCTGTTGGGGTCTTTTATAAGGTCGGGTCACAAGGTGCCTGATCGGCTTGTACACGAGTCTCTGATTGGCTGTAGGTGAGGTAAGAAGTTTAGGGTCTATGAATTTTGTGACTCTGATAAGGTGGGCTGACACAAGCCAGCCTGAGCTGTTGTGAGATTAGGCGTTACCCAGGGCTGTTAGTTTGTTAGGGGAAACACGCCCAGTAAAGGATGTACTTTATCTGTTGAGGGATCACAGGCAGACTTCTGAGAGCCCAGGGATGGGGGTCATTGGACTTTTGAACGACGTCAGTTGGCCCCACATGCCCCCCGACAGATTGGCAGTGACAGATCTTTGGAACAAGGGTGAAGGTCTCATCTTCCGTATCTGCTTCCTGCTGAATGTGGGGTGTCACGCTGTCCCTGTCTCTCACGCTAATCTGTCCAGGGTTTTGGGTCCCTGACATGCCGGCAGCTTTCAAGGTGGGAGTGGAAGGAGACCCCAATGGCGTCCAAGGGCTGCATCACCAGGATGTTGGCTTGGTTCACGGCAGCAATCTTGGTAGGAGGGGTGTATTTGTTCCTAAGTTCACAGATCTTGCAGCTCAAAGACAGACATTTTGTAAGAGAGGGACACAGCATAAAAGAACGTGGATACCAAGATAAATAGATAAACCCAGCAAAAACGGAGAGAAGAAATTTGAGGATGTCTGGAAAGGAAGAACTTATCTGCTCAGGGGACTAAGAAAAGTCATTGGAGAAGCAGTCAGAGGTCTGTTTAGGGACCACCTTGCGCTAAACTTTGGCATAAGGACGCCCAGAGCAGTGTGGTTATGTGAGACAGCTCTCCTTACTGGCCAGAGCAGATGCCACCCTTAACGATTTTAGTGCTTTTCTAGATATGAGGAGATGCAAGAATTTGGGTCATCAACTCTTCTTCTGAAAATATCTAACTATCTGAAGGCCCGTTCCATCAGTTTTTCCAAAGCTCAGAGCGCCTCATTTCTGACCTCCACCCTGAGCTCCTTTCAGGGGGTGCGGAGGGTCATGGCCTTCAGTGGCTTGCGACCTAACCCTTGTAGCGGCAGATGGCCAGCGCCCTCGTGGTCAAAAAGTCACCACGGCCTGGAAGGCGTTTCATGACCGTTTCACCCCGGGCGCGAGGAGGCTTGCTTCTCGGCCAGGCGGGGACTCGGTGCCGGGCCGCCCACGTGCTGGACGAGGCCTTCTGCACAGGAGCAGAACCCTCTGGCCCGCCTGCCTTCCTGGCCCGTTCCGGCCCAGGGAGATGCTCCCTCTCGTTGCTTCTTCCCGCATCTGCGGTTACGCGGACTCCTGCTCACAGCTCCCCCGAGAGCTGCGCTCTGCTTGCTGCGTCAAGCGGCTGCCTGTTGCTCTGACTGAGCTTCAGTGACTTCGGAAGAAAATCGCATCTGTGGCCAGGATGAGAGCAGGCAGTACCTGGCCGGGTGAGGGAATCCCACCTGGTAACCGCGTTAGGGGCCTGAACAGAACTGTAAGTTCTTTCTTCTAGAAAGAATTTCCTGACGGCCTAGCAGTTAGACCCCTGGAGTGGAGAAATCCACCAAGGTAGCCCAGAAGTACTGGACTGAGGTGCTTAACCGTAAACCTGACAATTAGATGAACGTGACTCTGAGTGAGATCATGAAATACATTTAGATTCCTGAGCTTTAGGAACAAACCTGAAGTTCCTTTAATAATTCAGTTAAACCTGTAACAATCCCCAGGGGCAGGACAGCTCCTTGTTGGCAGTGCCCTGCCCCCTTTGTTGTAACCTAAGGGCAAGGCATGGCCTGGGAGGTGAGCCTTGTAAATACAGACCTCGGTTAGTAAAACTAGAATTTAAAACCCATCAGTTACAAAAGAAGTTGCATTCAAACTGGGTTTCTGGCAAATGGAACAAATCAAAGACGGTTAAATCCTTTTTACTAGTATTAATGGGAAAGAGACGAGATTTCTATTTGTCCTTAACAGGTTAAGTTCCAAATCATTTCACCCCTTTCTGGAAATGTGCGTTTTAGAAAGATGGCGAGATCAGGGTTCTCAGAGAAGGACAGGTAGAATATTTGCATCTCAAAGGCGAGTTCCTCCAGAATGACTTTGCTCCCTTAGAGGCCAGAGAAAGGTTTTTTTTCTTTTCCTTTTCCCTTTCCTTTTCCTTTTCCTTTTCCTTTCCCTTTCCCTTTCTCTTTTTCTTTTTTTTTTTTTTCTAAGATACTCACACGTCCCCGAAGCAGGGGAGGCGGGGGGGGGGGGTGGTGACTGGTTGGCGGGCTCTGGGTTCTGTCTGGAGCCACACCTCTGGTCCGGGCACAGAGGGAGCAGTGGCAGCGGCAGTATCTGGCTTTTTGTTCGTCTGTTTCCTTACCTCTTTTCTCCTCTTTAGCCCCGATATTTCCCCCTAATTGTTGGAAATCTTAAAGACGGTGTCCAGTAAAACAGGAAAAGAGAATCGGGAGAGACACGCGCGGCAATTTTTACGAAGATGCGAGTTTGGGGAGAGGGCGGTAAAGGCCTCAGCACAGGGGACTTCAGACGATTTGCCCAGTTTGTGGCAGACAGAATCAAGCTGGAAGATTGTATTATAGCTCAGAGCTGCTTTTGCTTTAATGTCTGGGGATCAGCGTTATCCCCGTGTTTTAAACTGCAATCCAAAGGTGAGTCTCGGGGAATACAAGAGGCGTCTCCCGCTGTAGCTAGGGCGGTATCAAAGAGAGAAGGTTCTAC